ACGCCCTACAAAGGGGAGCCGAAGCACCAGGACGGCGTGGAGCAGCTGAAACGAGCACTCACATCTGCACCAATACTCATTTTGCCAGATCCCGAACGCGACTACGTCATCGAAGCAGACGCCAGCGACCAGGCAGTAGGAGCAGTCTTAATGCAAGATCAGGGGAATGGACTGCAACCAATCACCTACCTGAGTAAGAAACTACACGGGGCAGAACTCAACTACCCGATACACGACAAGGAGGCCTTGGCTATCATCATCGCCTTCAAAGCATGGAGATGTTATCTCGAAGGACGAAGAACAACCGTCAACACCGACCACTGCAGCCTGAAATACTTGAAGACACAACCCAACCTTTCCAGGAGGCAGGTCCGGTGGATTGACTTCCTCGAGACACACTTCCAGTACGACATCGTGTACAAGCCCGGCCACAAAAACAAGGCAGACGCTCTCAGTCGGCCTAAACACGTTGCTGCTATTCAGATCGAACGGATGAATACACTACTCAAGGGACTCTTCACACACGGGTACGCCATCGACCCTGAAATTCCCTTGGCAGAAAAGCGACATCTGCTACAGTGGGACAGCGATATCGCGTACCGGAAAGGATAAAAAAAAATCAGGGTACCCAATTACCCTCCTTTGCGCCAGTTACTACTCGAAGAATACCACGACGTCCTCTACGCCGGACACTTTGGTAGCAACAAGACGCTGACCGGTATTGCAAAACACTACTACTGGCCCAACATGGCAGAGGATGTTCAGAAGTTTGTCACCTCGTGTGATACATGTCAGCGGATGATGAGCAGCAAACAGAAAAAGGCGGGACTACTGCAGCCTCTTCCTATCCCAGAACAGCCATGGCAAGTGGTTAGCCTGGACTTCATCACCGGGTTACCACCTACCACCAGCGGTTATGACGCAATCCTTGTCATCATCGACAAGTTCTCCAAAATGGGACACTTCATCCCGACACACGACGGAACGCACCGAGGAGACAGCACAACTCTTCGTTCGTTACATCATCTCACAGCTTGGCATTCCAACAACACTCATCTCCGACCGAGACCCCAAGTTCACCAGCAAGTTCTGGAAGGAAATTATGTCTCTGCTCGGGACCAAACTCGCCATGTCATCCGCTTACCATCCGCAGACAGACGGACAGACCGAGCGCCTCAACCAAATTGTTGAGCAACTCCTCCGAGCAGCCTGCAAGGACGACATCTCCAAATGGGACTTGCACCTGCCCGTTCTAGAGTTTGCTTACAACAACAAAAACCGACAACATCCGCTACAGTGCAACCTGCACATGATTTCATCACAACCATGCATCAGCTTTGGGATTGGACCCACAAGCGCCTCCTCGACATTCAACAGCAACAGAAGCGCCAGGCCGATTGCCATCGCAACGACCACACCATTACCATAGGAGACCAGGTGCTCCTTGACACCCGCAACCTTGACATCAGCCATCTACCATCTAAACTGCGACCTCGCTTCTGCGGGCCTTTCCTCGTTGAAGCACAGGTCACTTATGTTACCTTTCGCTTATGCCTGCCAGCTACCTGGAAGATTCACAACGCCTTTCATGTCCAACTTCTGAAGCCCTATCGGGATCCAAACACGATCTTTGTCGGACGCCAACCGCCGCCGCCGCCGCCCGTCCTCGTCCAGAATGAACCCGAGTACGAGGTCGAGTCCGTGCTTGCACACCGCCGTCGTCGGAATGGCACCGTGGAGCTTCTCATTCGTTGGAAGGGTTATGATCCTTCTGAGGACAGCTGGGTACCTGAGATCGACATGGGTAACGCCCGTCGTCCTCTGCATGCCTACCTTGTCAAGCAGGGTGTTACTTCTACCACCCAGCTTTGAGGAGGGGAAGTGTGAGAGTATGACCCCATTACACCGCTTGTCCCTTTTTCTTATTTCCTTCCTCTTCCATTTCTCTTTATCCCATCTCATTTGGTTTCTTATTTTCCATTTTCCATTAACCTTTGGTTTATCCTGCTACTGTAATTATATTACCGACCAGGCTTGGGAAATACTGGTGCGCTATATCTAGCGTAATCCTGCCGTAATCCCTTAAAGCCAATAGCCTCGCGTGGCTATACGCAGGGTGATTTTATATTCTATAAGGGTCTATTCCCTTGGGATAAGATGAACCTAGTTACCTAATGTACTCTGGAAGTATAAAAGCGCCTTGTACTGATCGATAGTGCAACCTTTCCTCCAGTCATTCGATCCTGTGAGACCTGCTGACCCCACCACTGCTGAGAGTGAGACCTTTGCTGCTGCTGCGCTTGCTCGCGCTGACTGGGATATTCGCGATGCTGTAGCGCAGCTTACCATTAGTCATGCACTTCCCCTATCTGAGCGTCCCCGCTTCACTGCTGTAGCAAACACCAAAGACTTCTTAGATGCAGTAGTTGCACGCTACTCCACGCCTCCCTCCGCCTTAGCTAGGCGCTTGATCCTCCCCAAGCTCTTCCCCGATCTCTCTGCTTTCCCAACTGTCGCTGATCTCGCCACTCACCTCCGTCCACTAGAGACTAGCTATCGCGCTGCTAGCACTACTGCCCAGCTCACTCCCTTCCCCCCGCCGTTCTGCACTACCCTTTACCTTATTGCCACTGCCCGTGACCACTTCCTTAGCCAGCACCCAAGTGACCTCACCCTGACCGCTTTTGTCGCTGCCCTTTATGAGATAGAGACTTGCCAGCGCACTATCGCTCAGTCGAGTGGTATTGTGGCAGGCCCTATCTTTCAGAGCTGTGCTCCCTCCCAGTGCACGTATGCTGACGTTTCTGCTGCTGTTGCTACTGCTGCTCCTGCCGCTGAGACCGCAGCGGCAGCCTTCCCGCAGCAGTAGCGACAGCATTGGGGCCGTCGTGGCCCTTAGGGAGGGCGTGGTGGTGGTGGCAGCGATAGTGGTTCTGACGAGGGGGCTGGGGCAGGCGTCCAAGAGCAGCAGCAGCAGCAGCCGCAGCAGCCGTGGGCCCGCCTCCTGTCGGGGTGGCCGGGAGCCCCTGGAGGGGGCCGCCGAGGTGGCGGTCCTCGCAGCTCGGCGTCTACCGGCGGCTTCGGTGCTGTGGGCTGCTAGTATCAGCTCCAGACCAGGCCCCTTTGTGGCACTGTGTGCCGCCGTCCGCACCTGACTGCCCGCTGCTTCCGCCGCCTCGACGACCTCTTTCGTCGCCGCTTCGGCCCGGCCCCGGAGCTCCCTAACTGGCCCAGTCTGCTGCGCCACGGTGTGCCTGTTTTTGACTTAGACATGGATCAGATTTGTTATGCGTTCTCGGTATGCTGACGCTTCTAGTGTGCCCGGATCATATTACCCTATGTTCTCTAGCTTAGGCGTCACACCTGTGTGTAGTACACACTCCCCTGCTACATCAGGCGTAGGACTGTTTGCTTTGTCTAGCCTAGGCTCCACACTCGCTCCTCATTCGTCTTCCGCTACTGCTTCGCTGTCCTTCACATTTGACTCTGGTGCGTCTGCCTGCTTCTTCCACGACCACACCACACTCACGCCGCTTGCCGCGCCAGCCGCTGTCGCACTTGCTAACCCCTCTGCTGATCCTGTCATTGCTCGCACCTACACTACGTGGCCCTCGGGTTCCCTTACAGGTCTGCACATCCCTTCGTTTTCCAGGAACTTAGTTGGTGTCAACTAAATTCAGGACCTCGGCATCACCGCAACGTTTCCTGGTCACGAGCGGTACGTTGTCTGTACCGAGGCCGCCTAAAGTTCCCCCTTGCGACGTTCCCCCGGGACCCGGTGTCTGGCCTGTTTACGTTGGACACAACTCCCCCTTCGGTTGGCGCGTCCTCCCTGTGCCCTTCGTCTACCCAGGTCGCTGCGGCTTGCTCGTGTCGGTCGCTCACTCACCCGTCGCTTTTGTGGCACCACCGCCTAGGTCACCCTGCACTCCCGCGTCTAGGTCACATGTCTCAGCACGGTCTCGTCCTAGGTCTCCCTGCAACGCTTCTTGCCCTCCCTCCTTTGCCTGCGCCGCCGTGCACGCCCTGCGTGGAGGTCCGTCTGCGCCGTACTCCTCACTCCTCCTCGCTTCGCCCTGTTACCACACCCCTCCAGACCCTGCATCTAGACGTCTGGGGCCCAGCCCATGTCCCCGGACCGCGTTGCGAGCGCTACTTTCTTGTACTTGTCGACGACTACACGTGCTACACCACGGTGTTTCCACTGGAGAGAACGGCCGACGTACGTTCTTATCTCGTGGGTCGTAGCTGCGCTTCTCCACCGTGGTCTCCCTGTGTTGTGTCTCTGATAGGAATCGTGCAAATCTGGAGAGAACTAATTAGAGATTAAGTTTGACGATCTCAACAGAACATTGCGTGCAGCTCAAGTAACTTCTAGAAATGAGCTTATACGCGTTGGAAAGGTCTTAATCTCTACTTTCCAGAATGGTAAAGCACGTTCATAACCAAGATCTGAGCCGCCGATTATGACGAAATCAGTGTGAGGGGATATTCTGGTAATTTGGCTAGGCAGCCATGAATCACCTAGTAAAAACGAGAAGGCAAGCAGTTCGATCTGGAAAAGTTGCAGTATGTGATTGTCAAGCACCACCAACCCTTGCCCTAGACCAAACCCCAACACTCTCAAGTGCCGCGACTGCAACATCAAAGATGTTGTAGTGGGTTTGAGGTTGTATGTGTTGGTAAGGTAACGAGTTCAAACCTTGCCAACCAGCCCAAGTCCTTTCGCCCAAAACCCAATAGCCCACAACCAGCTAGAGCAAAATACACCACAGAATAATACACATTTATCACTCCCCCTTGCTCGTGCTGGGTGTGGCTCAACACCATAGGGCAAAAGACTTCACACCACTCCCCCTTGCCCATGGGTTGGGGCCACCCAGTGCATGGAGTCCGCCAAGGAGAGGAGCACCAAGACGCCGGAATCTGCTGCGGGAACCCGGTCATCATGGGGCTGCATCCCGAGCAAGGTCATGCACACACCATGGCACTCAAATGGAAGAGCCTTGGTAAGGATATCAGCAGCCTGACGGTTGGTGGGGCACCACTGCAAAATCACCTCTCCCGCAGCCACCATCTCCCGAATGAAATGCCACCGGACCTGCATGTGTTTGGTGCGGCCATGCAAGCATGCATTCTGTGCAAGGGCAATGGCAGACTGATTGTCCACAAACACAGGCACACCACCAGTATGAGCATGGCCAAACTCCCCAAACAAACGCCTCAGCCACACACCCTCCTGAGTGCACTGACACAGACTTATGTACTCACTCTCAGTGGTAGAGAGTGCCACCACGGGCTGCCTCTTGCTCTGCCAAGAGATAGCTGCCCCATTCAGGCAAAACCTATACCCACTGTGACTCTTGCGACTTGCGGAATCTCCAGCATAGTCGGCATCACTGAAGCCAACCAGCTGGACCTGAGATTGGGGCTGTGTTTGGAAGAAGATACCTGACTTGACACCACCTTTCACGTACCTCAGCACTCTCTTAGCGGCCTGCAAGTGGAACATTTTAGGACAAGAGGCGACCTTAGATAGCTGTGAGACTGCGAATGCAATCTGCGGCTGTGTGGTAGTACAAGCATACATGAGGGATCCCACAATGCTTTGGTAGAGCTTGACCAGCTCATCTCGCAGCAAAGGTTCATCCTCATAGGCATGCACATCAAAGCCTGTCGGCAGAGGAGTACGCACAGGTTTGGCCTCTGAAAGACCAAAGGACTGAAGCATGTTAAGAATGTACCTCTCTTGATGAATCAAGATACCACTCTCATCACGCTCAATTTGCATTCCCAAGTAGTACTTCACCCCCCCCAAGTCCTTCATGCGAAAACGTAAGGACAAGAAGTCTTTCACTCGATCTAACAAAACCTTACTAGAGCATAGGAGCAAGAGGTCATCCACATAGAGGAATAAGGAGATCCTCTCCTCATCTCTCACAAAGTGGTACAAGGCAGGGTCACACTCAGATCTCTCAAACCCAAAATCCATGAGAGCCTCATCAAATTCAGGTACCACTGTCGTGGGGCTTGCTTCAGCCCATAAATGGACCTTTTGAGGCGACACACTCGGTTAGACCCATCATCAAAACCAGGGGGCTGCCGCATGTAAAGCTCTTCTTCCAAATCCCCATGGAGGAAGGCTATCTTGACGTCCATATGATGGATGTCAAGCTTCAAAGCAGCTGAAATTCCAAGCATATCTCTCAAGGTCGCATGCTTCCCAACTGGAGAGTACACTTCTTCATAGTGTACTCCCAATTTCTGCATGTTTCCCATCACCACCAATCTGGACTTAGGCCTCTCAATGGTACCATCAGGGTTATGTTTGTATTTCCAAACCCATTGACACCTGAGGACCTCCAAACCAGGTGGTACCACTGCTGGATCAACCAGCTCAAATGATCCATTTACCTTGTGAGACTCAAGCTCCTCATGCATGGACTCAACCCATTCGGGACGGTTCAGCGCCTCGTGGACTGACCTAGGCTCATGTACCTAACCCATTAGACACACATCAAGAGCATACTCATGCCCATGCATGTCCACAAGCATGCAATCATCCAAATCAGACACAAGATGATCATGCATGCGTGCAATGTGCCCCGGGGTAAACCTTTCAGGTGGCTAGGAAATTCGAGCACTGCGTCGCAGAGGTGTTGCCTCTCCTTCTTCCAGCCTCTGCAGCTTCTCCTCCCAAGTCACCCTCTTCATTGGAGTCCTTGGAGTCTTGGACAGCTGCTGGTTCAACAACTGCTGCCAACTGCTTCTCGATGGAGTTGAAGGCACATGCTGCTCTGGCTGATCATCATGCGCATCGGCCGGCGTGGCTGGCTGAGGGGTAGAATCTGTCTCTCAGGACTCCTCATGGTTAGAATCAGCTGGTTCTGGCTCCTCCTGCTGCTCCTCCCCTTCATCTCCAGGGTCCTCCCATGCCCCCTCAAAGATAGAGGCCGTATGAGGGTCTTGATTGGAAGTCCCACTATGGCTTGCACCACGCTCCTTCCACCCCTTATAATTCAGCCCCTCATGGAAAATCACATCACGGCTCTCCATCACACGCTGGTCAGCTACACTCCATAGCACCCAAGCCTTGCTCCTCTCAGAAACCCCAAGGAAGATCCCCCACTGTGCCTTAGGATCTAGCTTCCTCCTTTGCTGGTCAGGTACCTTATACTGTGCCATGCAACCCCACACTCGTGCCATGGAAACATTCGGCACCTTCCCTGTCCATAAGGAGTATGGGCTCTTGCCTCCAAGCCCCTTGCTGCCCATCCTGTTCTTCACCCAGTTGGCATACTGCACTGCTGCCCCCCACCAAGTGTTATCAAGCTCGGCATGGGCAAGAATGGCCCGAGCCAAATCGGTCAAAGTCCTGTTCAGCCGCTCCGCTGCCCCATTTTGCTGCGGCGTGTAAGGTACAGAGAGCTGGTGGGAAATACCCTTTTCTTCCAAGAAGATTTGAAGTTCTTTCCCAAGGTACTCTCCACCCCGATCTGACCTTAACACCTTTACCTTGGCCCCTGATTCCCTCTCCACATAGCGTATCCACCGCTTAAACACCTTTGCCACCTCATCCTTGGTCTTCACCAAGGTGACCCAGCTAAGTCGACTGAAGTCATCAAGAAAGGTGACAAAGTACCTGCTGCCCCTTTCCTGGTCAGGAGTTTGCATCGGTCCACACACATCCGTGTGTACAAGCTCAAGGGGAGTCGAGGCATGATCAGAGGAGATAGGGAATGAGGTTCTAGGCAGCTTTCCAGATGTGCAGTGAGGACATTTTCTCTGCTGCCCAGCTCCTTCCTTGACCTCCACCCCCTTCAGCTCCCCCTTCTTTACACACTCCAGTAGTTGCTGCTTCCCCGCGTGCCCCATGCGAAGGTGTAGCAACTCAAGTGACACCGTTTCCACCTGCCTCCAGCGAGTGCTAGAAGCGGCTTCCTCAGAAAAAACCATATGTGCCTTGTAACAATTAGGCACACAAGCTGGAACAAGGTATAAACCCTTGTCCAGCTTTGCCTCCATCACCACAGCTTCACCCTTTCTAACAGTGCACCCTCCCTCAGTGAAAGTGCAGATGTATCCCTGTTTAGCCAGCTGCGAGCATGAAAGGAGGTTTGCAGCCAAACCAGGGACGTGAAGGACCCCCTTCACACCCACTAGCTCCCCCTCCTTCCCCTTAATGGTGATCGTGTCGATGCCAATTGCCTGCAGCAAATCTCCGCTCCCAACAATCACTCTCCTAGAGTTTGGTGGGAGAGGATGGTAGGAGGTGAAAAGATCACGGCGAGGAAGCATCCCAGATGTTGCTCCAGAGTCTAGAACCAGGAAGTTGGGATCAGCCAATGCACGACCAGCGAGAGATGCATCCTGCCCTAGCATGAGAAACGAGAAACCATCATCGGAGGAGTCGTCTTGGCCCTTCCCCTTCTCATCCTTAGCAGCTGCGGCCGTTGCTCCCTTGCTGCCCTTCTTATTCCAGAGCCCCTTCTTCATCCTTTTCTCCACCCAATCAGGTTTGGTCACTGGTGGTGCCTCTCCAGAGTAGCCGTGAGGCTTCCATCCCTCAGGCCTACTCCAGCAACTCTTCCAAGAGTGTTTTTTGTTGCATCCGGGCACAAGGCATTTGTCCAACTCTTTCTTCTTCCCCCCACCTCCTTGCTGTTGATAGCCTTTCCTGAAGGAAGCTTTATCTGCTGCCCCCATGCCTCCTTCTAGGCCTCTTCCAGCATCAACCTTGCGAGCCTCATCAGAAATTAAAACCTCCCAAATCCACACCTTGGTCCATTTCTGTTGCTCGAGGTGAAGGTACTGTAGTAATGCCTCATTAGCCGCTTGATCCAACCCTTGGAGTGCAGTATAGATGATCTCCTTCTCATCTACCGTGTAATCTAGCTCCTCCAAAGCCCTCACATTCTCATCCACCCTCTGGAGATACTGAACCATGGTCTCCCCCTCCCCATAGTTCCGCTCCATGGTGTAAAACCGCTTCCGCCAAGTAAGCACGCTTAGAAGCCCTTTCTGCAAGTGCCTATCTTGTACTCTTTTCCAAGCTGCAGCCGCTGCACCTTCCTTCCCCTTCAGGTCAATCAGCATCTTAAGAAGCTCAAGTTGCCCCTCCAAAGCCCAACACAGGTACTGAAATGCCTGGCGATCCTTCCGATCCCATGCTTCTTGAGCTTTGAGCAACTCCTCGTGACTTGGTTGCGACCTTCCGGTTCGAGTTGCAGCGGTTCCTCCTTCATTCCCCCCACTCAACGACACTCCCCCAGCCCCGGATCCCACTTGGCTGGTTGCTCCAGTAGGCGCCTCCCCAGAGTCAGCTCGTGGTCGCTTCTCCGATCCATCCAACACACTTTATAGGTCCTTAATACCTAGCCGTAGTGTGAACTGGAACCTCCATAGCGAAAAGTCCGAGCCGGTAAACCTAGGAGGGCCATCCAACTTTTGGGCCATGTCAAACACTAGATCTGGAGCACTTCAAGCCTCTCTAGATCTCTTCCAATGGAGGAAAGAACGTCCTCTAACCGTGGCTCTGATACCACTGATAGGAATCGTGCAAATCTGGAGAGAACTAATTAGAGATTAAGTTTGACGATCTCAACAGAACATTGCGTGCAGCTCAGGTAACTTCTAGAAATGAGCTTATACGCGTTGGAAAGGTCTTAATCTCTACTTTCCAGAATGGTAAAGCACGTTCATAACCAAGATCTGAGCCGCCGATTATGACGAAATCGGTGTGAGGGGATATTCTGGTAATTTGGCTAGGCAGCCATGAATCACCTAGTAAAAACGAGAAGGCAAGCAGTTCGATCTGGAAAAGTTGCAGTATGTGATTGTCAAGCACCACCAACCCTTGCCCTAGACCAAACCCCAACACTCTCAAGTGCCGCGACTGCAACATCAAAGATGTTGTAGTGGGTTTGAGGTTGTATGTGATGGTAAGGTAACGAGTTCAAACCTTGCCAACCAGCCCAAGTCCTTTTGCCCAAAACCCAATAGCCCACAACCAGCTAGAGCAAACTACACCACAGAATAATACACATTTATCAGTCTCCACTCCGACCGTGGCGGCGAGTTCGCGTCTGGTCGGCTTGGACAGTTTTGTCGTGCGAAGGGCATCACCCAGTCGTACACCCTACCGTACTCCCCGCAGCAGAATGGGGTCGCTTAGTGACGCATCGGCCTGGTCATGGAGGTGGCTCGTACCTCCATGATTTATGCCGGTGCACCCCATTTTCTCTGGCCGTTCGCTGTTCACTACGCTGTTCACCAGCTTAACCTCTAACCGTGCTCCCAGCGGCCGCAGATTTCGCCGACCCTTCTTTCGATTGGGTTCCCTGGTGACGCGTCCGTGTTCCACGTCTGGAGCTGCCTCGCTCATGTTCGTGCCTCTTGCACGGACAAGCTCACTGCCCATACTGTTTCCTATGTCTTCCTCAGTTTCCCCCAGGACTCCTCTGGCTGGCACTTCTATCACTCGCCATCTCACCGCTTCTATCAATTCCGTGATGCCACTTTCGACGAGTCTGTCTCCTTTTACCACCACTTTCCCCACCGAGGTCTCCTGGATTCCCCTCCCATGTTTCTTGTCCCCACTCCCCCGGTCGCCTTTGCTCACCTTCCTCCCCGTCCTGCTCCATCTGGTGTGTCTCACTTCACTCCCCTCCCGTCGGTTGTCCCGGTCGAGGATTTGGCTGACTTTGGTGGCCCTGCGGCACAGTTCTTGCCGCCTGTCTCTCCTCCGGTGTCTCCTCCTCCGCCGTTGCATTCGCCACCGCCGCAGCCGTCACAGTCGCCGCCACCGCAGCCGTTGCAGTCGCCGCCGCCGCCACCGCCGCAGCCGCTGCCCCCGTCGTAGCATCAGCAGCCGTTTGTGGCCTCTGGGGGTGCTGGCGTTGAGGAGGGTGCTAGTCTTGGGGTTTCCTGTCGTGGCTTGTCCCGCCGGGCTCGGGGGTGGCACAGGTGCTGGAAAAGGTCCTCGCTCTGGGGGTGCTGGAATTTAGTGATCCGGAGGTAGCAGTCCAGGTGTCGGCGTCGAGCAGCAGCAGCAGCACTCGCCGCCGGTGTCCGCCCTTCGCCTGCTCGGCCTTCCCTCCCCTGACCGCTTGACTGCGCCTCCCCCGCCACCTCCTCCCCTTCCTATCCACGGTCCTGTGTTTCCTTCGCCAAACTCATCCCCGGCTCGTTTCCCACCCCGTTCCCCTCCCGTAACTCCTCCTAGTTCTCCTGACCCGACGCCTCCGTCTCACGTCTGGTCTCGCCGTCTCTCTCGTGCTCGTCCCGTCTCCCCTATTCAGCGCTCTCACCCTATGTTGCTTCATTCCTACGTGTCTCGTCCTCCCCTCCTGCCTTCGCCTCCTCCGTCATCGCTCGCTGTCGCGCCTCCCCTTCAGTCTGACTACCTTCGTGCTGCTCGTCCTCTTATTCCTCGGGTCCTTGCCTCCCTCATTACCGACCCGCCTCTGTTAAAATATACCATGCTATCCTAATTGTGAATATTGTATTTACATCCCTAGTTGGGTGTACACCTGTGTTGGGGTGTCAATCAAACCCAATTGTGGATGGAGCCCCCAAACACAAGGACCAGAATTGTGGGGGCACCACAAGGGGGTTGCTTAAGCCACTTGTGGTCCACCACACTTGGACCACCTCCCACTTGTGGTCAACCACATTTGGAAGGATCCAATATCCCTTGTGATTGGTCCTAACACCCCCTTCCCTTCCAACCTTCCCTTCCTAGCTCATCTCTCTCTTCCTATGTAATGCCTTTGCTTCATCAATAAACCGAACCTTTCTGTTTCTTACATGGTATAGAGCAATAATGGCTCACGCCAACTTTTAATCCCGATCCTTCCCCATGCTTCCACCCCGTCCCCTTCCGACGTGCACCTCATTGCCGTCCCCTCCATCGCCGCTGCAAGACTCCTAGCCGCCGCTTCTTATTCCCCTCACAACTAGTTTTCTGTTGGGTGGAATTTCAAACACCCCCAATGCACCAAACGCCATAGCTCGCTCGCTAATTGACAGAACTAAGTGATTCGATTTGCAAAAGAAAGTTTTTGGAGTCACCTACAACGTCCTAAATTGTCAGACCGTTTCACCAATTAGATTGTCAGATATCGCTTTCCGATGTTTGCACACTTTCCTGGATGTCATCACGAAGTCCTACTTTCATCAGCTAACTGTCATCTTTCCCCATACTTTGCCTCCTCACCTGCACCTGCTCATCGCTGCCTTACCATTGCTGTAGCCGAAGCAGCAGCGGCAGCACCAGCACCAGAAGGAGCAGCAGACATAGCAGCAGCAGCAACAGCAGCAGCAACAGTAGTGCAGCTGCAGCAGCAACAGTAGTGCAGCAGCAGCAGCAGCCAATGAAGGAGCAGCAGTAGTAGCTATAGCCACCCCCATCCTCCCCTCCTCTTTGAGCCACCACGGGTCCACCCGCCGCCGCTCCCTCTTAGCCACCGCGGGTTCACCCGCCGTCCCCTTCCTCCCACTCCGCGCCATCAATGGCATCCTTTCCCCCTCCCGTAGACGTCTCGACCCTCGATCATCTCGTGCGCGCTGCCGACAACTCAGCAACCAGCTGGTATTCCTTCGTCGGCAGCCTCCACCACATCCTCGGCAGTGCATATGTCCAGCCGTTCCGCCTCTTGGACATCATGCTTGGTCTCCCAGAGGGAGACCTTGGGGACCCGCCGCCTCACCCTGGCAATCCCCCCCCTCTCATTCCCCATCCGGGCGAGGAGCCTCTGCCCCCCGTGGTACTCGTTGGCACCAGCACTCGCGCTGCCACCGCTGAAGCTGAGGAGCTCTTCGTTACTCAATGTCATGAGTTCCTCGTGCTCCTTACTGATTACCTGCTTGCTTTGGAGGAACACGAGTGGACAGCCACCCTTCGCACCCAGCATGCCGTTACCGCCGACGCTTATACCGTTGACTCTGAACGATTTGCCGAGCGTCGTCGCGCTTGGCTCGAGGCGAACAACCGTGCTACCGGTGCCCTTCTCCTTGCCATCCCGTCTGCGCTCATGCGCAACTTCCAGGCACGTCGCATCGGCTCCCCCCAGATATGGCTCGAGCTTGAGGCGATTTTCGAACACACCGACTTCGACGCTGTCGGACTACTCTTCTAGGAATACTTCAGCATCACGATCGAAAATAGTGCTGGCGCCGTTGACTACACCAGCTGTCTCCTGGACCTTGCCTCCCACCTAGAGGCTTGCCAGACTACTCTCCCCTCCAACCTCCAGATCTACCATCTCCTCAAAGGCCTCTCCCCTTAGTATGAAGTGCGCGTCATCGCCTTCACTGAGGCTCAGCCCCACGCCTCCCTTGACACTGTGGTCCAGTGGATCATTGACGCTGAGGCCCGCCTAATCTCAACCGCCCCCTCCGGCCTGAACTCCACCGAGTCCCAAAACCCCCAGCTTGCAGTCGCACAGCTGCGCCTTGGCGAGCGCCCACGTGGTGACCGCACCAACCCTCAGGGAGTTGGTGGAGGTGGCGGTTGTGAAGGCAACGGAGCCAGCGGCGGTGGTGGCGGGGTCGAGGGTGGCAGCAGTGGTGGTGGTGGAGGCAGTGGTGGCTCATATGGTTGCCGTGGTGGCCGCCCTGGCACTCTCCCCCCATGTTCCTATCTTCGCCGTTTTGGTCCCAGGGCAGGTGAGCGCTGCACCCAAACCAACCATCCCCCAACGACCTGCTTCAAGGTGTATGATGACGCCGGGTTCGAGCCCGGCAACACTGGCACACCCCTACGCTGGTCTGCCATGGATCCCTGCCCCTCTCTCCAGGATGTCAAAACTCTTCCGTCTTTCCTCCTCCTCCTCCTCCTCCTCCTCCTCCTCCTCCTCCTCCTCCTCCTCCTCCTCCTCCTCCTCCTCCTCCTCCTCCTCCTCCTCCTCCTCCTCCTCCTCTGTCGCTGACCCCATAACTCCCCAGGAGCTGCAACAGTTTTGCCCTTTCCAGCAGCTGCAACAGCAGCAGCAGCAACAACAGTAGCAGTGGGGCTCTGGTGGTCAGGCTGCAGCCGCAGCCGCAGGAGCCGCAGCCGCAGCATCTGCATGGCAGCAGCAGCAGCTTGGCTTTGGCACCGCTGCCATGGCTGCCACAGCCACAACAGGTCCTCCTGGCTTTCCCCTATGAGGCTCTCCTTCCTCTAGTGCTCCCGCCTCCCACTCCAGCTTTCTAGGCAAGCTCATGCGCTCTTTCCCTGCTTCCACTTCCATGTATCCCTCTACTTTTAATGCCAGTGATTTTCAGTACCCCGTGTTTTCAGCTCCCTCCTCGCTCACGATAGACTTTGTTCTCGATAGTGGTGCCACTGGAACTGCCCTCAAAGACGTCGACACCCTCACCATGCTTGTCCTAGTCGACGACCAGAGCAGGTACTCATCGGTGTTCCTTCTCCACACAAAGGCCGAGGCCCTTGCTGTCATCGTTACCTGGGCCGAGCAGTGCCGTGTCCACTTTGGTCGCCCCATCCGCCGCCTCCATTCCGACGGCGGTGGTGAGTTTCTCAACCGCACCCTCTCCTCCTACTGCTCAACCCATGGCATCCAACAGACTCATACCCTTCCCCACTCCCCTTAGCAGAACGATGTTGCGGAGAGTTGCATTCGTAAGATCACCAAGACGGCCCGCTGCCTCCTCACTCATGCCTCCACGCCCCCTTCTCTTTGTGGCTATGCCCTTGTCCATGCTGCTCTCCTCACTAATCTTTACCCATATCCTCAACGCCAGTCCGTCACTCCCACAGAGCTCTGGGCCAGCACCAAGCCAGATGCTGCCATTCTCCGTATCTGGGGTTGCAAGGCATATGTCCTCATCCCCCCACCCGACCACTCTAAGCAGGCACGAAAGCTCGCCTCCAAGGCCATTGAGTGTGTCTACCTTGGCTACGCTCGCTCTGCCCCTAGTTACCTCTTCCTTCACCCGCCTCCTACAGAGCCATGGCGTGGTGTTCGATGAGAGCATTCCGTTCTATCATTCTGTTCCGCCTTCCGACCCACTTCCTCCTCTCTCCCGCCCCCTCAGCTGGGCTGATGCTGTCATCCCCCCACTCCTTCCCCAGGCTCCCCTCCTTCCTCCGAATCCTGCTCCTCCCCCTCCTCCTTCCTCATATGACATTTACGACCAAGCTGTCCCTAACTCCCCTGCTCACTCTGCCTCGTCGCACCAGCAACGGCAGCAGCAGCAGCAGCAGCAGCAGGTGCAGCAGTAGGTGCAGCAGCAGCAGCAGCAGCAGTACCAGCAGCAGCAGTACCAGCAGCAGCAGCAGCAGCAGGAGGTGCAGCAGCAATAGCGGCTGGAGCAGCAGCAGCAACCGCAAGCAGTGCAGCACCAGCAGCCGCAGCAGAAGGTGCAGCAGTAGCAGCAGCTGGAGAAGGAGCAGCAGCAGCAATAGCAGCAGCAGCAGCAACAGCAGCTGTAGCAGCAGCAGCAGCAGCAGCCACAGCAGCAACCTCATCGGCAACGCCGCACCACCTCTCCGTTCATCCTTCCACGCGTCCACACTCGCTCTCATGCCCACTCATAGGCCATCCATGGGGTTGGCCAACGCCACCCCCACCCTCCCTTCCCTTCCTTGAGGACTCCCATGAGGAGCTCATTGACGTTCTGCAACAAATACCATCCCTCACGCCTCTCTTCCCAGGCTTCCTTGGCCTCCTCATCCTTGGCATCGCTACCGTTCCCACCATTTTCACCCCGTCCAACTTCCTTGAGGCCATCACTTGTCCCGACTATCTTTGCTGAATGCGAGGCCTTCATCCGCAATGCCTCATTCGTTGACATTGTCGCCTCTCCTGACGACGTCATTGTTGAAGGCCTGTGGGTGTTCCGAGTGAACCAGCTGCCTGTTGAGGAGCCGGTCTACAAGGCCCGGTATTGTGCCAAGGGCTTCACCCAGACCCATGGCATCGACTACTGGGAGACATTCTCTCCCACTGCTAATCTCCCAACTCTCTGTGCCCTCCTCGACTATGCTGTTCGCATTGGCATGGAGATTGCCTCCATGGATGTCTCCAACGCCTTCCTGCAAGGCATCCTCTAGGAGCGGGTCCTCTTGCGGCAGCCTCCAGGCTTTCATGCAGCCTTCCCTCCCAACACAGTCTGGGAGCTACGCCGCCTGGTTTATGGCCTCAAGCAGGCTCCTCGCGAGTGGCACAACAAGCTGGCCGCCACTCCGCAGTCCCTGGGGTTCCATGCCTCTAAGTCCGAAGCCAGCCTTTTCCCTCGCTCCTCTCCCACCCGCTTCTTCATCCTGGTGTATGTCGACGACATGATCGTGTTCGCTGATGATGCTGCCGTCATGCAGCAAGTGAAGGACGCCCTACATGCACGCCTCAAGTGCAAGGACCCGGGTGAGCTCAAGCCCTATTTGGGCATGACCATCACCAGGGACCGCGCAGCGCGCACCATTACCCTCTCTCAGTCCTTCGACATCCACCAAGTCTTGCAGCGGTTCGACATGGCGCAGGCCAAGCCGGTTACCACTCCCCTGCAAACCGACCACCAGCTTGCCCCTCGTCCTGTTCCCTCCTCCTCTGACCATCCTTACGCTGAGCTCGTCAGTTCGCTGATGTACGCTATGATGTGCACCTGCCCCGACCTTGCCTACCCTATCAGCGTTCTTGCTCGCTTCGTCAGTACCGGTCGCCACACTGACGAGCACTGGGCTGCAACGAAGCGGGTACTCCGCTACCTCCGTGGTACCAATGACTATGTCCTCACCCTCGGAGGCTCATCTCCTCCCCTCCTCTCTGGCTTCAGTGACGCCTCCTGGGCTGACACCCAGCTGGATCGCTGTTCCTCTCAAGGCTAGGGCTTCACCCTTGGCAGCGGCCTCATCAGCTGGCGTTCCACTCGCTTCTCCTCCATCGCCCTCTCATCCTGCGAGGCTGAGCTCTATGCTTTCACCATGGCCGCTCAGGAGGCTCGCTGGCTCACCTTTCTCCTTGCTGAGATCGGTGCTCCTGAGCGCTGTCCCACTCTCTGGTGCGACAACGCCAGCACCATCCATCTCACGAAGGACCCTGTCTTCCATGGCCGCTCCGAGCACATTGAACTCTGCTACTTCTTCGTTCGGGAGTTGGTCCAGCAAGGTCACTTGGTGGTCTGCAAGATCGCTGCAAAGGCCAACTTTGCCGACATCTTCACCAAGGCCCTCCCGAAGACCACGCACTCTGCCCTCCTCCACCTTCTCGGCCTTGGGCCCCGCCCCCCTTCCTGATTCTGGGGTTGAACCCTTTATATACACTAGCTTTGCATGCTATGGGGTTGTGTTAGAATATACCATGCTATGCTATTTGTGTAAATTTTGTTTACATCCCTAGTTGGGTGTACACCTGTGTTGGGGTGTCAATCCAACCCAATTGTGGGGGCACCACAAGTGGGTTGCTTAAGCCACTTGTTGTCCACCACACTTGGACCACCTCTCACTTGTGTTCAACCACATTTGGGAAGATCCTCCCTCCGTTGTGATTGGCCCTAAACCCCCCCCTTCCCTTCCAACATTCCCTTCCTAGATCATCTCTCTCTTCCTATGTAATGCCTTTGCTTCATCAATAAACTCAACCATTCAGTTGCTAACAGTCTGTTCCTCTCTTGAGTCTTGACGCTCTTGTTGCAGCTATCGCGGACTTCGCCTCTACCCGCCGCCTTGACTATGCCACCGCTCTGGTCTCTGACCTTGTCCGTCCTACATCGGTCGGGGGTGCACCTGCCCTTGGCACTGACGTCCTAGAGGACAGGCAGTACGAGCTTGCTTTCCTTTCCGAGGCTGCACCCCATCTCTGCTCCATGCTGCTGGTCCCTGAGGGTGACCCAGACGCCTTTGACATCCCGACCCCTTGCACTTATGCTGAGGCGACCTCAGGACCCTGGGCCTATCAGTGGATAGCTGCCATGGAGCAGGAGATGGCATCTTGGAGATCCACCAGCACCTACGTCGACGCAGTTCCCCCACTTGCGGTGAACGTAGTCGACGGCCGATGGCTGTCCAAGGTGAAGCGCCCACCTGGAAAGCCGCTTGTCTTCAAGGCGCGCTACGTGGCTAGAGGCTTCAGTCACCGTGAGGGGGTGGAATTCTTTCAGACCTTCGCCCCGACCCCGAAGATGACTACTCTTCGGGCGCTGCTACACGTAGCAGCATAGCGTGACTACGAGCTCCACTCCCTAGACTTCTCCACTGCATTTCTTCAGGGCAGCCTACACGAGCAGGTCTACCTGTTCCGATTGTAGGACTTCACCGGTACCTTCCCTCTTGGGACCCAGTGGCTCCTCAAACACCTGATCTACGGCCTGCGACAGGCGCCCCGTGAGTGGTAGAACACGCTGCATGCTACGCTAGCTGACCTGCAGTTCTTTTCGTCCTCTACAGACCCTTCACTCTTCGTTCGTGCTGGCCAGACTCCGTTCTACATCCTTGTCTACGTAGACGACCTGGTCTTCGCTACTGCAAACAGAGACGCGCTGGCCTCCTTGAAGGCCGAGCTGCTGAGGAGACACACCTGCACTGACCTAGGAGAGCTGCGCCGCTACCTTGGCCTGCAGATCTCCAGGGACAGAGCAGCGCACTCTCACACAGTAACATTTGGTGCGCCAGGTCCTTCAGAGGTTTGGTCTTCTGTTCTCCACGGCACAACCCATACCTCTACCAGTAGACCACATGCTCTCGGCTCCAGTTCCTAAGGAGTCAGTAGAGCCCACTGGTCCTTACGCAAAGCTGGTGGGTTGCCTCATGTACCAGCTGACTTGTACTCGTCTCGATCTCGCATACCCTCTCAGCATCCTAGCTTGCTTTGTGGCCACCGACAAACACTGACCACAGCACTGGTTAGCTGCTAAGAGGGTTTTACGTTATCTTGCAAGTACATCGGGCATGGGTCTAGTGCTAGGAGGACGCAGTCCAGTGGTCCTTGTTGGGCACACAGACGCTTCTTGGGCAGACGACGCAGAGACCCTCAGGTCGTCCCAGGGCTACTGCTTTAGCCTTGCTTCGGGTGCGATCTCGTGGAGGTCCACTCGCTCCTCGTCTGTTGCCCAGTCTAGCTGTGAGGCTGAGATCTACGCCGGTGCCATGGCGGCACAGGAGCTCCACTGGCTGACGCTCTTGCTCACCGACTTAGGTGAGCAGCCTAGCTCTGCCCCGGTCCTGTACGCTGACAACAGGGCAATGATCCTCCTGTGTCAGGAACTTCGACTTGAGGGCAGAGCAAAGCACATCCAGCTGCGATACTTCCTCTTGTGTGAGCTACAGTAGCGCCGCTAGGCCCGTGTAGTACAATTGGCCTCCGGTGCCAACAGAGCTGATATCTTTACTAAGGCGCTTGTGCCTAAAGATCATAAGCGGTACTGCTTGCTTCTTGGTCTTTTTCATGTAAACTCTCACTTGCTAGAAGCATGATTGTGTACTCCTCTATATATATATCGTTCAGACTAGCCTTGTGGCTCCTCTTCTAGTGGACGGACTAGTAGTGCCGCCCTGGCTTGCTCCTATCTGGTCTTCGGACCCCGATCTCAGAGGTTGGACTAGTAGTGCCACACTGAGCTGTGTGCTTATTGCTCAGCATTGCCCCTTATCTAGCCTTAGGGGTGTGTCAACTTATACATACATTCTGCATGTAGAAGTTGTAGGCTAGAATAGGTGTATGTTCTTATAGAGTACAACCCAACCCTATACCTTACTTGTTCTCTCTTGTTTCTATTCATTCTATTGTTCTAGCACACTCGCCACCTCGCACCACTACTGTACAACCCTGCTCTCTTGTGGCCCGGCTCTTTGCCTGGTCATGAAAAATAATCTTGAATTTTTTGTGCCACCGGCTTTAAAAATAACCCTTCTCTGGAAGAGACTCATAACTCTGGCCTACTAGACATGGAGGATAGGGTCATCGATGGACCCCCATTTAGGAAAGAGGGTTTCTTTCTAAAGCAGACGTTGTGAATGTTCTTGCTATACGGTTCCCCTTGAGCCCATTCATCTCTATATTTGAGCCATTGTCAAGTAGGACGAACTTGTTAGAAATAGATTGCAAATACCATTTTTGTATTTGTACTCACAAAATCCCAACGTCGCCCAACTGTGATCCCACCTATCTCCAATTACCCAATTGGAGATTCCGGAGATCCCATAGGGGATTCCATCCGATTCCCACCTTCATCCATTCTCTCTCACCTTGCCATGTACATATACTTCTTGGGCTCCTTACCTAATCAATCATTTCAGCTCTATTTCTTACATGGTATCAGAGCAACCTATCCGCACACGGGGATCAAGGTCCTAATCTTAACATGCCCGCGCCAAGCGCACCTCATCGTCGCGACATTCGTCTGGAGTCGTCGGAATTTTTGACGTGCTTCACTCTGCAGTCGCGCCTCTCATTGTCGACCGCCTTCGCGCTTGACCTCGTAGAATTGCTCATCTCGAAAGCTTTCACGCTTCTCATTATCGATTTCCTCCTCAGTTCTCCTAGGTTGAATATCAGTTTCGACCATCTCTTAAAACGTGTTTTCGAGTTTCCGCTCGGACCCCGCCAGAATAGGTGAACTCCCCTCGCGAAATCGCCTCCACGAACGTCTCGCGTCAAGCAAGGTTAGGTAGACAGGTGGAAGCGGAGCGGAGCTGGTTGCGGAGCAGGTCGAGAGCTGGTTGCGGAGCTGTGAAGCTGCTAGATAGGGCCTGGGGGTGGGGTGTGTGGGTCTGGGGTTAGACATAGTCTGAGTTTCAGTTTCAAGTTGGCATTCAAACAAATTTCCACCGACGCCACTTCCTTCTTAGCGGCATTTCGACGAAGCCGTCGAAGTGATTTTCGGCAATTCTTGTCGGCTTCGCGAAAATCAAACGGGAATGGCTTACTCAACCACTTCACTCGCCAACTCGATCCTGCTCCTTCGTCTCGAGCCGGACGGCACATGCTCCAACTACAAGGCTTTGCGCTATGGTGTCGACAAACACCTCCTCAGTCGCGAGGTAAAGGGGCTCGAGCTCATAGATGTCCTTCTCAACATCGGTGAAGGCCTAGAGCCTCCTAAACCCGAGAGGTCCGCCGATCCAGCTACTGCCGCCGTCGAAGCAGTTTATGCTGCTGCACTGCTCAAGTACAAGAATTGGGAGAAGGCCGATGGTGCGGTCATTAGTGTTTTCATGGGCACCACTCCTCGCGAACTCGTCAAAACCTACCACAACTACCCGTCTGCCAACACCATTTGGCTCTACCTCGAAGACCACTTCCTGAACAAGACTGCAGTGGGAGTTTTCATAATCATCCCCAGCATGATCCAAGTGCGGCTCGTACTCAACCACTTCACTCACCAACCCGATCCCACTCCTTCGTCTCGAGCCAGACGGTACATGCTCCAACTACAAGGCTTGGCGCTATGGTGTCGACAAACACCTCCTCATTTGCGAGGTGAAGGGGCTCGAGCTCACAGATGTCCTTCTCAAAATCGGGGATGGCAAAGAGCCTCCGAAACCCAAGAGGTCCGCCGATCCAGCTAATGCCGCCGCCGAAGCAGTTTATGCTACTACACAGCTCAAGTACAAGAATTGGGAGAAGCCGATGGTGCGGTCATTAGTGTCTTCATGGGCACCACTCCTCGTGAACTCGTCGAAACCTACCACAACTACCCATCTGCCAACGCCATTTGGCTCTACCTCATAGACCGCTTCCTGAACAAGACTGCAGTGGGAGTTGCTATACTCATCCCCATCATGTTCCAAGTGCAGCTCGAGGACTCGCTAGACATGGCGGACTATGTCACCAAGGTGCAGTCCATTCATGGTAAACTCAAGCAGTTGGGGATAGTCTTCCCCGAGGAAGCCCCTCCAGCCGCTCTCGTAGTCGGCTTCACTCCGGCATACGAAGTCACACGCAAGATGCTCTTGGGCCTTGCTCCTGCGGACCTCACATTTGCCAAGGTCTCATCCACGCTCCATTCTGCCGAAAAGGACAACAGCGCTCAAGCCAAGGCCAATGCAATCCGCGCTCCCATGCCTCAAGCCTATGCCACTTCGGCACCATTCCAGCGCAACCGCTTCCCCCCGTGTCCCTTTGTCATCAAGCGCGGCCCTCGTGCTGGCCAGGTGTGTGGCGGCACCAACCACGCCCTCGCCTCCTGCTTCAAGAAGAAGGATGACGAGTGGTATGTCGTCTATGGGATCGCCTCGAACCCGCCAAGCTGGATGGTCAATCGTGCTCCTCGCCAAGTGAATCAAGTTGAAGCGCAGGAATCTGTGCAGGCTGCTGTGGCTGCCCCTGCTGATGTGCGCTTCAACATGTTGTTCCCTGGCACTGCCATGATCAATGAGACGATTTCGCAGTGTTCCGGCTCACAAAGCATCCCGGCCACAATAGAGTTCACCCTCGACAGTGGGGCCACTCAAACAGTTCTCAAGGAAGAACACTCCTTCAAGCCATACGAGACACCAATCCGTCTACTAGGAGCAGACTCCAGTTTCACGACACATGCCAAGGGCTCCTTTACAGTTCCGTGCCCAGCTTTCTCTTAGGGCAGTGTCACCGGCATGTGTGTTCCCATGCTACGCCACATTCTCATGGCCCAATACGAGCTCCAACGGGCAAGCCTCACCACGATCTTCCCAGTACACTCGGATCACTCTGACCTCCTCGACCCTAAGTCCAACAAGCTCCTAGCACGCTTCACACTCAACAGCAACAAGCTCTACACGCTGCGTTCACCTGCACCTCTCGCCGCCCTCTCTCAAGCGCAAGCTGCCAGCACCACTCCGTGTTCCAGTCGTAGCTTCCCCAACCCAACCATCCTCTACCACCATTGCCCAGGTCACCCCAACTTCCGTACGCTTGCCGACATCGCTTCCAAGAAACTTCTCCTTGGCCTCCCGTCGGCGCTTCCTCTACCAACAGACTCACTTGCACCCACCTGCCTAGACTGCACCAAGAGCAAGCTCAGGCAGCAGCCGCACCCTTCCTCCCCATCCGTCGCAGCTGCTCTGCTGGACCTAGTGCACATGGATGTCTGGGGCCCAGCTCCAGTCGCATCTCGAGGCGGTCATCGGTACTTTCTTACACTAGTCGATGAGCACTCGCGGTATGTTTCCGTGCACCTCCTGCATAGCAAGGCGGGGGCACTTGACCTCATCATGGCATGGGTGCGCCAGGCTCAAGTCACGTTCGGCACTCCTCTGAAGTGCCTCCATTCGGATGGCGGGGGAGAGTTTTGCAATGGCAAACTCGATACCTTCTGCGCGGCCGAAGGGATTCGGCAAACCTTCACACTCCCTTAAAACCCGCAGGAGAATGGCATTGCAGAGAGCCGCAACCACACCTTGGTTCAGATCGCTCGCTGCCTTCTCAGTCACGCCAACACACCATGGTCACTCTGGGGATATGCCCTCTTCCATGCGGCCTTCCATCCCCATTGGCGACATGTATGACACCACACCTACCACTCTCTGGCTTGGGGCCACGCCCTCCGCCCACTCTCTAAGCGTCTGGGGGTGTACCGCGTATGTGTTGCTCAGCCCCCACACGCGCAGGAAGCAAGGTGGCAAGCTTGGTCCCAAAACCCAGACCAGCATGTACCTGGGGCACAACTCCGATGCCCTAGACTACTTATTGCTCAACCCCATCACCAGACAGCTGATTTGCAGCCTGATATCATCTTCGATGAGACACGCCCATTCCATTCTGCGACCACGCGCGAGCCTCGTCCACCTCCCCCGATGCTTGTATGGGCAGACTTCGATGCCCCAGCTCCGGCCGCTGCCCCTTCTCCGGGGCCTCTCCGTCCGGCGTGTCTCACCCGGCCTCCCCGGTATTCTTTGCAGTGGCACCTCCTCCTGATCTGCCTTCCCCGCGCGTCGAGCCCGGCTCACCAGTCTCCTTCCAGGAGCGTCCAGTTTCTCCGGTCCCACTGCAGCCGCCTTCGTCTCCAGTCTCTAGTCGCACTCGTTCCAAGGGACTGGCTCTGCCTCTCACCTGGGGACCAGCCGCCTTCTCCATCCGGTGGGCGGTCACCCCGCCTCCTCCTGCCGGGGGTGATGTCCACTCCAACCATATCCCCCGCTGTGCACTTCTGGAGGACAGGCATGAGGAGCTGTTTGACCTTCACGCGGTCTGCCAATTTCTCTCTCACATCTTCCCGGACATTACTGTCTGCCCTTCCCTCAACTTCACCGAGAACCCGACCATTCCGACTCCTCGCACAAAATAGGATGCTCTCTCGGGGCTTTATAAGGAGTGGAAGGCAGCAATGGATGTGGAGAACGAGGCATTAATTCGCAACAACAGCTTTGACGATGTCGTTCCCCCTTCTGGTGTTAACATCGTCGACGGAAAATGGATCTTCCGAGTCAAACAACTCCTAGGCGAAGCTCCACTATTCGAGGCACGATACATGGCGAAGGGTTTCACCCAGAAGGAGTATCTTGACTTCTTCGAAACCTTCTCGCCCACGGCCAAGCTCCCGACTATGCGCATTCTTCTTGATATAGCCGCTCGCGGCAACTTCGAGATCAAGTCCATGGACGCCTCCTCCGCCTTTCTCCAAGGACAGCTCAAGGAGGATGTTCACATGGAATGCCCACCGACGTTTCCTGGCACTTACCTTGCCAACACAGTGTGGAAGCTGAAGCACCTAGTGTATGGCCTCAAGCAGGCTCCTTGTGAGTGGCACAACAAGGTGAAGGAAGTCCTCCTCGCACTTGACTTCCATCCCTCCACATCAGATTCCAGTCTTTTCGTTCGTCACTCCTCCGAGCCCTTCTACATCGTCGTCTATGTCGACAACTTCAGTGTAGTCGTTAGAGATCCAGCCGAGATGGCAGTTGTCGAGTCTGCTCTCAGCTCCGCCCTTCTCAAGAAGGATCTTGGTGACCTCAAGAACTACCTGGGGATGGAGATCACTCGTGACCGCTAGGCTTGCATGATCACCCTCTCCCAGGAGTCCTACATCAGCAACCTTCTCAAGCGGTTCGACATGGACTCCAGTAACTCTGTCTCCACTCCACTCCCACTACAGCATTAGCTCATGGCCCCTCTGATTCCTTCTCGTGACACCTGCAAGAACCGGATACAATTCTTGAACAGACTTAAACTCAAGGGTCATTGCGGAGGTCAGATTTCTTTACCTGAGAAGGAGAGGGATGAGTCATAGGGAGGTCCAGGCAGAAACAAATGCTTGGTATGTGAAAATATATTATCATCAATGTGTTAGAAGATTCCATGTTATGTTGTTTGTGTGTACATCTCGATTTGGGTGTACATCTGTGTTGGTGTGTCAGTCCAATCCAATTGTGGTTGGACCACAATTGTGGGGGCCACGCAGGTGGGTTGCTCA